AGAATAATTTTAGAAAACAATGCGTTTTATGACGAAAGGTCAGAGGAGACGGCAGGAGGCGGTGGAAGAATGGAAACCGGAGAGACGAGTGCGGAAGTTGTTAACCGTGACGAAGGCAGATGCAGCGTGCTTAACGGAAGAAGCTGGATTGAGCGGGAAGGATGCTGCATGTCAGACAAGCGATGCAGTACGAAAGAAGGGGCTGTTGAAGCTCGGGACGCTGCTTGCCAGACTAGAATGAGGGTTTTGGTTCCCCGTCGGGTATGCTTACGGAGCATATTGGCTTCAGTACTAAACTGCAAACCAGGTAACGATAAGAAATATGCGGCTTTTCCTCTTCTTCATTCTTCGCTTTCAAGACTTCTGAATTGTCTTGAAATCTTTGCGGGTTCAGGCGATGCACGGATAAGGAAGGAAGATGGGAGGATGAAGTTACATAGAGCAGGAGTACACGATCGACTGGAGGAACTACCGCTTCCGACAACAGCGTCGATGATGGCAGGAACCAAATTATGCGATAAGGTGTGGCAGATTGTGTGCAACATGGCGGAAGCGTGTGACGAATGAAAGTGCAGATTGGCTCCTCCGGAGTTCCGCCTACCTAAATCTTCACTTGCTGTTGTTGCCCTTACCGGTTTGTCTGTGCGTACGGTGAAGAATATATTGGAGCAGTTCATTTCCACGGTAGCTCCTAAAGTAAACAGACAGTTCCTGCCGCCTTGCAAATCTTTGAACAAGGCAGCTATGAGGAGGGATATATGGGAGACTTATGCAGCTCAATTCAACTCCCATATACACCGAGGGGTCAGAAGTCTCGTGAATAAGCTCCATCGGGCCAGTAAGCCGGTAGTCGTCGAAGAACTGTGGCGGGCGTTGAACGGACGTCTCGTCGACGATGAATCCTGGCCTGTGCGTGGAATGTCAGCGACAGGTGTCAAGAAGCTCTTGTTAGGACTTGGCTACAGGTAATATATTGTTTTCGGAAAAAAGAAATTTTTTATTTAGTAAGAATATGGAGTACTTCGGGGGAAAAAAAAATCTCATTTTAGAATAAAAATTAATAAAAGCTTGAATTAGTACAATGAAATAAAAATTGAGAAAATTAAAAAAATTCAAATTTTTTGTGCAGGTACCGCCTCATCTAGCGAGACCCGATTTTGATGCAATCAGAGTGTTTCCGTCGTTTACGGACTCGCTATATTGAACGGATTTAGCAGTGCAGAAGGGACAGCAAGATCGTGGTTCATGCCGATGAAATCTGGGTTTGGTGCGGTATGGGGTACTGTCGGGACTGAATTGTTCCCCAGAACTACCGAAATCCGTTCCGTGTGGATGTCTCGCCGCCAGCTCCTATTCCGCGTGGGAAATGTCCTGTCGTTGTGCACTGCTTGACATCCGACGGCCAGCTGAATGGAGCTCAGGAAGTCATCGTATCCGGTCAACGTAACGAGGACGGCGGTTACAATCAGGATATGAGTTTCGAGTTCTACAGCACCTGGTTCACGCGGCTTGCTGAGAACTTGCAGACGGTGTGTGGTAGTAACAGAGTCGTCGTGGTGCTCGACAACGCACCATATCATTCGAAGAAATTGGACTGGATTCCGACCTCAGCGAACACGAAGCAAGCGCTGGCATCGTTCCTGCAGCAGCACGACATCCCCTTCGACGTGTCGTGGACGAAGAAGTCAATGTTGCGGGCTATTTGCCAGCATATCGCTGGGAAGGAGGAGCAGTTCCAGAGCTATGTGATCGACAAAATTGCGCAAGACAGAGAGGTGGAGATCCTCCGATTACCGCCTTTCCGCTGCCAGTTTTCGTCGATAGAACTGTTCTGGAGTTGACTTAGGAGGGAAG